AAAATGAAGGAGTAGAAGACTAAATAACGAAGAAGAATCCAAAAAAAGAAGGAGTAGAAGACTAAATAACGAAGAAGAAGGCAAAAAAGAAGGAGTAGAGGACTAAATAACGAAGAAGAAGGCAAAAAAGAAGGAGTAGAAGACTAAATAACGAAGAAGAAGGCAAAAAGAAAGAGAGTAGAAGACTAAATAACGAAGAAGAAGGCAAAAAGAAGGAGTAGAAGACTAAATAACGAAGAAGAAGGCAAAAAAGAAGGAGTAGAAGACTAAATAACGAAGAAGAAGGCAAAAAAAGAAGGAGTAGAAGACTAAATAACGAAGAAGAAGGCAAAAAAGAAGGAGTAGAAGACTAAATAACGAAGAAGGAGGCAAAAAAGAAGGAGTAGAAGACTAAATAACAAAGAAGAAGGCAAAAAAGAAGGAGTAGAAGACTAAATAACGAAGAAGAAGGCAAAAAAGAAGGAGTAGAAGACTAAATAACGAAGAAGAAGGCAAAAAAAGAAGGAGTAGAAGACTAAATAACGAAGAAGAAGGCAAAAAAGAAGGAGTAGAAGACTAAATAACCAAGAAGAAGGCAAAAAAGAAGGAGTAGAAGACTAAATAACCAAGAAGAAGGCAAAAAAGAAGGAGTAGAAGACTAAATAACCAAGAAGAAGGCAAAAAGAAGGAGTAGAAGACTAAATAACCAAGAAGAAGGCAAAAAAGAAGGAGTAGAAGACTAAATAACGAAGAAGAAGGCAAAAAAGAAAGAGTAGAAGACTAAATAACGAAGAAGAAGGCAAAAAAGAAGGAGTAGAAGACTAAATAACGAAGAAGAAGGCAAAAAGAAGGAGTAGAAGACTAAATAACAAAGAAGAAGGCAAAAAAGAAGGAGTAGAAGACTAAATATCGAAGAAGAATCCAAAAAAAATGAAGGAGTAGAAGACTAAATAACGAAGAAGAATCCACAAAAGAAAGAGTAGAAGACTAAATAACGAAGAAGAAGGCAAAAAGAAGGAGTAGAAGACTAAATAACGAAGAAGAAGGCAAAAAAGAAGGAGTAGAAGACTAAATAACGAAGAAGAAGGCAAACAAGAAGCAGTAGAACACTAAATAACAAAGAAGAAGGCAAAAAAGAAGGAGTAGAAGACTAAATAACAAAGAAGAAGGCAAAAAAGAAGGAGTAGAAGACTAAATATCGAAGAAGAATCCAAAAAAAAAGGAGTAGAAGACTAAATAACGAAGAAGAATCCAAAAAAAAAAAGAAGGAGTAGAAGACTAAATAACGAGGAAGAAGGCAAAAAAGAAAGAGTAGAAGACTAAATAACGAAGAAGAAGGCAAAAAGAAGGAGTAGAAGACTAAATAACGAAGAAGAAGGCAAAAAAGAAGGAGTAGAAGACTAAATAACGAAGAAGAAGGCAAAAAAGAAGGAGTAGAAGACTAAATAACGAAGAAGAAGGCAAAAAAGAAGGAGTAGAAGACTAAATAACGAAGAAGAAGGCAAAAAAGAAGGAGTAGAAGACTAAATAACGAAGAAGAAGGCAAAAAAGAAGGAGTAGAAGACTAAATAACGAAGAAGAAGGCAAAAAGAAGGAGTAGAAGACTAAATAACGAAGAAGAAGGCAAAAAGAAGGAGTAGAAGACTAAATAACGAAGAAGAAGGCAAAAAAGAAGGAGTAGAAGACTAAATAACGAAGAAGAAGGCAAAAAAGAAGGAGTAGAAGACTAAATAACAAAGAAGAAGGCAAAAAAAGAAGGAAGTAGAAGACTAAATAACGAAGAAGAAGCCAAAAAAAGAAGGAGTAGAAGACTAAATAACGAAGAAGAAGGCAAAAAAAGAAGGAGTAGAAGACTAAATAACGAAGAAGAAGGCAAAAAAAAGAAGGAGTAGAAGACTAAATAACGAAGAAGAAGGCAAAAAAAGAAGGAGTAGAAGACTAAATAACGAAGAAGAAGGCAAAAAAGAAGGAGTAGAAGACTAAATAACGAAGAAGAAGGCAAAAAGAAGGAGTAGAAGACTAAATAACGAAGAAGAAGGCAAAAAAGAAGGAGTAGAAGACTAAATAACGAAGAAGAAGGCAAAAAAGAAGGAGTAGAAGACTAAATAACGAAGAAGAAGGCAAAAAGAAGGAGTAGAAGACTAAATAACGAAGAAGAAGGCAAAAAAGAAGGAGTAGAAGACTAAATAACGAAGAAGAAGGCAAAAAAGAAGGAGTAGAAGACTAAATAACGAAGAAGAAGGCAAAAAAGAAGGAGTAGAAGACTAAATAACGAAGAAGAAGGCAAAAAGAAGGAGTAGAAGACTAAATAACGAAGAAGAAGGCAAAAAAGAAGGAGTAGAAGACTAAATAACGAAGAAGAAGGCAAAAAAAGGAGTAGAAGACTAAATAACGAAGAAGAAGGCAAGAAGGACAAAAATAACGAAGAAGAAGGCAAAAAAGAAGGAGTAGAAGACTAAATAACGAAGAAGAAGGCAAAAAAGAAGTTGTAGAAGACTAAATAACGAAGAAGAAGGCAAAAAAGAAGGAGTAGAAGACTAAATAACCAAGAAGAAAGCAAAAAAGAAGGAGTAGAAGACTAAATAACGAAGAAGAAGGCAAAAAAGAAGGAGTAGAAGACTAAATAACGAAGAAGGAGGCAAAAAAGAAGGAGTAGAAGACTAAATAACGAAGAAGAAGGCAAAAAAGAAAGAGTAGAACTCTAAATAACGAAGAAGAAGGCAAAAAAGAAGGAGTAGAAGACTAAATAACGAAGAAGAAGGCAAAAAAGGAGGAGTAGAAGACTAAATAACGAAGAAGAAGGCAAAAAAGAAGGAGTAGAAGACTAAATAACGAAGAAGAAGGCAAAAAAGAAGGAGTAGAAGACAAAATAACGAAGAAGAAGGCAAAAAAGAAGGAGTAGAAGACTAAATAACGAAGAAGAAGGCAAAAAAGAAGTTGTAGAAGACTAAATAACGAAGAAGAAGGCAAAAAAGAAGGAGTAGAAGACTAAATAACCAAGAAGAAAGCAAAAAAGAAGGAGTAGAAGACTAAATAACGAAGAAGAAGGCAAAAAAGAAGGAGTAGAAGACTAAATAACGAAGAAGAAGGCAAAAAAGAAGGATTAGAAGACTAAATAACGAAGAAGAAGGCAAAAAAGAAGGAGTAGAAGACTAAATAACGAAGAAGAAGGCAAAAAAGAAGGAGTAGAACTCTAAATAACGAAGAAGAAGGCAAAAAAGAAGGAGTAGAAGACTAAATAACGAAGAAGAAGGCAAAAAAGGAGGAGTAGAAGACTAAATAACGAAGAAGAAGGCAAAAAAGAAGGAGTAGAAGACTAAATAACGAAGAAGAAGGCAAAAAAGAAGGAGTAGAAGACAAAATAACGAAGAAGAAGGCAAAAAGAAGGAGTAGAAGACTAAATAACGAAGAAGAATGCAAAAAAGAAGGAGTAGAAGACTAAATAACGAAGAAGAAGGCAAAAAAGAAGGAGTAGAAGACTAAATAACGAAGAAGAAGGCAAAAAAGAAGAAGTAGAAGACTAAATAACGAAGAAGAAGGCAAAAAAGAAGGAGTAGAAGACTAAATATCGAAGAAGAAGGCAAAAAAGAAGGAGTAGAAGACTAAATAACGAAGAAGGCAAAAAAGAAGGAGTAGAAGACTAAATAACGAAGAAGAAGGAGTAGAAGACTAAATAACGAAGAAGAAGGCAAAAAAGAAGGAGTAGAAGACTAAATAACGAAGAAGAAGGCAAAAAAGAAGGAGTAGAAGACTAAATAACGAAGAAGAAGGCAAAGAAGAAGGAGTAGAAGACTAAATAACGAAGAAGGAGGCAAAAAAGAAGGAGTAGAAGACAAAATAACGAAGATGAAGGCAAAAAAGAAGGAGTAGAAGACTAAATAACGAAGAAGAAGGCAAAAAAGATGGAGTAGAAGACTAAATAACGAAGAAGAATCCAAAAAAAATGAAGGAGTAGAAGACTAAATAACGAAGAAGAATCAAAAAAAAGAAGGAGTAGAAGACTAAATAACGAAGAAGAAGGCAAAAAAGAAAGAGTAGAAGACTAAATAACGAAGAAGAAGGCAAAAAGAAGGAGTAGAAGACTAAATAACGAAGAAGAAGGCAAAAAGAAGGAGTAGAAGACTAAATAACGAAGAAGAAGGCAAAAAAGAAGGAGTAGAAGACTAAATAACGAAGAAGAAGGCAAAAAGAAGGAGTAGAAGACTAAATAACGAAGAAGTAGGCAAAAAAGAAGGAGTAGAAGACTAAATAACGAAGAAGAAGGCAAAAAAGAAGGAGTAGAAGACTAAATAACGAAGAAGGAGGCAAAAAAGAAGGAGTAGAAGACTAAATAACGAAGAAGAAGGCAAAAAAGAAGGAGTAGAAGACTAAATAACGAAGAAGAAGGCAAAAAAGAAGGAGTAGAAGACTAAATATCGAAGAAGAATCCAAAAAAAATGAAGGAGTAGAAGACTAAATAACGAAGAAGAATCCAAAAAAAAAAGGAGTAGAAGACTAAATAACGAAGAAGAAGGCAAAAAAAAAGAGTAGAAGACTAAATAACGAAGAAGAAGGCAAAAAAGAGGGAGTAGGAGACTAAATAACGAAGAAGAAGGCAAAAAAGAAGGAGTAGAAGACTAAATAACGAAGAAGTAGGCAAAAAAGACGGAGTAGAAGACTAAATAACGAAGAAGAAGGCAAAAAAGAAGGAGTAGAAGACTAAATAACGAAGAAGAAGGTAAAAAAAGAAGGAGTAGAAGACTAAATAACGAAGAAGGAGGCAAAAAAGAAGGAGTAGAAGACTAAATAACGAAGAAGAAAGCAAAAAAGAAGGAGTAGAAGACTGTCACGTTGTTCTCTGGCCGGGATAAAATCTCAGTCGGGGCCAAGGAACCTATACAAGAAAATTTATATAGAGGGATGGGACCTGTAGTAGGAATAGTATGGGGGTGGCAGAATACCGGGGAACGGGGCACACCATACGTAGAAAAACGAGAGAAAGAGATCGCAGCCGGCGTATCCGGGCTTAGGACCACGTGGTTTTAATGCCAAGAGCCACTGTACTGCCTCATCCGTATAGCCGCCGGTAAAAGGTGGGTCTCCCACACCACCTGTCGGGCGAACGGATGAGACTTCGAACGAGGCTTGAGGCTGGCAGAAGTCAGAGAGATGGTCGCTGGCGCCCCCTGGTGGCTGCCGGTCAGGGCCGATCCCACCGTAGAGGTGAAATTCGGGTGGGGTGGGAACGATGATCGTCCCAAACTCGGAGAATAGCGCCCTCTGACGGGTGCCACGCCGATCGTGAGGTCACAACTCACGCCGCGAGGTGGCGTTGTAGGCCGAAAACGCGGGTTGGTCGTGAGGGGAACTCGGACCAATAGGTGGCGTTGTAGGCCGAGGATGTATGTGGGTCGCCGCAGCGACTCCCGGTAGCGGAATCGGGGCTGAGGGGGAAAAGCGGGGGCTACTACTCCGGATGGACGCGGAGTCTACGGAAGCACTGCTACTCCGGATGGACTCGGAGGCTACGTAAAGTCTACTACTCCGGATGGGCTCGGAGTCTACGTAATCTACTACTCCGGATGGACTCGGAGTCTACAAAATCTACTACTCCGGATGGACTCGGAGTCTACAAAATCTACTACTCCGGATGGACTCGGAGTCTACAAAATCTACTACTCCGGATGGACTCGGAGTCTACGGGAGGGCGACGTTAGTTGGGGCATGCAAGGGGGAGGGGGAGAGGGGAACTCTCGGCCGAAGCTTCGTCTCGTGAGTGGGAAACCAGACACAAGCGTCGGTCTCGGTCGAGGTGGAGGAAAAGGGTGAGGAGCAAGGACACCACAAACTACGAAAGAATAACAACGAGGTTTCACTTCGGGTTTTCTGGTAGTTTATTATGTGAATTGTGCTGGTTGTCGGGCTTGCTGCTGCCCTTACAAATAGGGAAAAAGGGGGGAAAAGTGCTTACGTGGCTCCTGGCGACGCGGTTGTCGCGATCTGGCGCGCGGTGGAGGGGAAACACGCGTGGCAAAACACTCGCGGTGCCGACGGTCGGCGATCAGGCGCGTGTCGCGGTACGCGATCTGGCGGGGTTCCGTTGCGACGGAACACGGATGAGCTTTCGGGTTGAGGTCTCTTCTCGTTTTGTATGGGCACGTGCGCGGTAACCAGGATGCGGCGGTCGAGCACACGTCTGGTCTCGGCGAGTTCTCGAAACGGAAGAGGATGAGTGAAAAACTTAGTGCTCGCACTTCAACGACATGCCGCGCTTATCGATTGGCCGGGTCGCTTATCGAGTGGCCGATCGATCGCCGGTAGTGCGATAGTAACTTCAGGGGGTCTCTGCGTGGGTCGCGTCTTGACTAACGTAAGGTTCAGGGGTTGCCACCTAGCTCGTTTCTGGGGTTTGTTTCTCCACTACTAATTAATTATTGGCCGCTTAGTTTAGTTTTGTAAGTTTATACTGAGAAGTTATTAATATTTACAAGAATGATAATGAACTTAACCTAATAACAAGAATGATAATGAACTTAGCCTAGTAATAATGATGATAATAAGGAACTTAATCTAGTAACAACAATAATAAAGTGAGGGTGACTCCGAGCTCTCTCTCGGCACGCAGTGGGCAATGATGATGACGATGATGATGGAATGTGCGTCCCAGATTTGGGGCGTTACATCCCCTCCCTACTTCGGGGAACAAAAGAGACCGTTCCCCGTCCGCTGGGCCGGAGGGTGATCTGGTACGACCCATCCTCAGTCCTTACTCGTAGGCGTTGGCGGGCGTACTGGGCGGCGGCGAGTCTGGCGGAGATGGTCCGCCACACCACGGCAGGCACCCGGCGGTCTGGTAAGTTGTGTTCCCACCCGTCCGGAAGCGGATATCGCTCGCCTTCCGGCGGGTCCTGGCTGACGCGCACGGGACTCCTCTCTCGTCCGTCAGTGGCGTCCTGTGGCGGGCTAACGAGGCCGTCGGGGTTCCAACGTTCTGGAGCAGCCCAAATCAAATCCTCAACCCCGGCTGGGATCTGGTCCAACAGTTGTCCGATGGTCCCGGGTGACATGCCTAGGGCGGCACTGAGGGGACTGGACCTCGGGGTCATCGCAGGGGGTGTGGTGGCTGCGGTGGGTTCGGGGACGGCGCTCGGGGTGGCACCCTCGGGTGATCGGTTGGCCACGGCTGCGGGTGGTGCACGGCCGGCGCGCGAGGTGGTAGCCTCGGGCGATCGGGTGGACATGGCTGCGGGTAGCGTATGGACGGCGCTCGATGTGGTAGCCTCTGGCGATCGGGTGTGCATGGCTGCGGGTGGTGCGTGTAGGGGCAGCGGCTGGCAGGGGACCGGAGTCAGGACCGGATCCCTGCGTCGGAATCGCTGGCCTGTGTCCTCCTCGTCGTCGCTAGACTCCGACTCCCATTCCATCGCTTTGCCCGTGGGGTGGTATGGACGACTGGGGGGTCCATGGTGCTGGGCTCAGCGTCCCGCCTCCCGATGTCCTGCGGTAGGGCGTCGTCTCGCATCGATGTCGCAGACTTCGAAGTCGTCGGGCCCGGGTTCTCTGGCATTTCGCAGTCGTTGCCTGGGTTGGCGAACGAGGGTACGGCCCTGTCGTCGACGCCAAGTATGCAGAGATGTTCCGGGGACTCTGGGAAGGTTACATACGGGCTCTCTGAAGGCCGCCACGGGACTTCGACCTGCATGGTCTCGTACGTGGTATGGATTAGGTACGCCCACGACCCCCGCTGGTACCAAAACCTGTCTTCTCCAGTGTGTAAGATGTGCTGCGCTCCCTCGGGTGGGACGCTGTCATCTTCCTCGCCTTCCTGCCGGTCATCTGAGCTCTCGGAGTATGTAGGCCGGGGATCGTCCTCGTCATCCGTGACGTCCTCGACGTAGGCGGCCGGCGGCTCGTCCTCGTCGTCCGGATCATCACTGGCGGACTCCTGTTCGCTCCCTACGGTCTCACGGTCCTCCGAACTCGATCGGTAGTCCGACTCCCGTTCGCAAGGGTTGTACACCTCTGTGTCGGACGACCCGGATGGACTCGGGCGGCCCGGGCGCGGGGCGTATTCCTGGCGTTCGGGGAAGGCGTCCGCGAAGTACTGGGTGTACGGCCGGCGCTCGAATCCGATGGTGGGGCCGTCTGGGACGCGACGCCCGTACTGGTCGGAGTAGTGCGGCGATGTGCTACGGGTTGGAGGGGTAGCGTGCCGGCCATCCTCCCGGCGATGTGGTGATGCGCAGCTCGACGTGGCCCGGCGGGGTCTTGTCCGAGCGCTGGAGGTTTCCGGTGAGGGTGAGGGCTCTCGACCGGAGCCTCCCGGCTGGCTCATACCCGTCGGGTCGGACCGGGTGGACCTCCCAGCGTACGCCGATCCTGGGCGTAGCCGGGGGTCCCGAGAGGTCGTCGGCTGGCTGGTGGCCCTGCTGCTGGGTCCGGGCTCTCCTTCGCTGTCACTCGAAGACAGCTCGATCGTCTCCATGGCTCCGGATGTGGCTCCTGATCTGTGGAAGATACAACTACACTAGCTTAATCTGAGGGGCCCTATGAAATGAGACCTAACGGGCAGCAGCGATAAATCCCTAATTGGTAAGTATCTTTAAGTTTAACAAGGGTTCTTAGGGATATTGGGGCACAGAGTAGGTTAGGGGGTACTTATAATCACCCCTCGCTGATAGCAGGGGTCGGTTGACCTCAGTGAGACGGCCCGGGTTGGTCTCCGGCGCCCTCTTCGGCACAATCGCTGTCTTCGTCCTCGGGATCACCTGTGGAAGAAGAATGAAACGCTTTTAAGTCTCCAATATTGGCAAGTCGTCCCTTCCGCTGGCCTGGCAGGCGGATTCGGACGACGTTGGGCGAAGGAAAAGCGACCACTTTATAGGGCCCGTCGAATTTTGGGGCAAGCTTCGCTGCGAATCCCTCTGCTGCTTTGGAGAGGTGATGTTGTCGCACCAAGACGAGCGATCCCATGGCTGGCTTCCAAGTACGGCGGCGCATGTTGTAGTGCCTACCCTGCTCCCGGCTGGCTCTTTGCAGGTTGTTCTGCACTATTTGGAACACCTCTTTCAAGCGATTTGCCCTCTCTGAAGGAGTCTGCGGCGAGGAGGCTGTTCCCGGGGTCACACTGTCGTACCATGACCCGGGTAGTCGTGGCTCGCGGGCTTGGAGTAGAAATGCCGGACTAAACCCTGTCGACTCTGAGACGCTCGTGTTGATTGCCAGTGATAGCTCCGGCAGCAGACTGTCCCACGTGTTCTGCCCATGTTCCACGTATTGAGCGATCATGGTTTTTACTGTGCGGTTGGCACGTTCGGTCGGGTTCTCTCATGGGCAATAGGGTGCGGTGAACTGCAGCTCGACTCCCGTCTCCTGAAGATAGTCCTTGAATGCCTTACTGGTAAACTGCGTCCCGTTATCGCACACCATCTTCTTCGGAGCTCCGAAGCGGCTGATGATGCGCTCACGGAAGGCTCGTATGAGGGTGGCCGTCGTTGCCTTTCGCAGAGGTACCAGCTCGACCCATTTGGTAAAGAGGTCGAAGAACACAAGGAGCATGGTGTTCCCCTCTTTCGAACGGGGTAATGGTCCGACGAAGTCTGCACACAGTATCCCGAAGGGCTCGTTCACCTGTCTGGTCAGCATTTTCCCGGCTTGCTGTCGTTGTTCCGACTTGAACTTCTGGCAGGGGACACATTGTCGCACGTACCGGCGTACGTCTCGGAACATCCCTGGCCAGTAGTACTTCTGGGAGATCCTGATGATTGTCTTGCGTATCCCCAGATGTCCAGCTGTTGGTGCGTCGTGGCACTCCTGCAGGATTCGTGCTCGATGTTCCGCGGCGACACAGAGCTTCCATGGGATGTAATCCTGGTCGTCTGGGCGGTGGCCGAGATGCCGGTATAGCTCTCCGTTCTCGATGATGTAATCCGGGAACTTCTGTGGGTTCTCCCGGACGTCCTTCGTCTTCCTTTGAAGCCACTTGCATTGGTGTTCTCCTTGTGCGAGTATCTGCAGATGTTCCAGCGGTTGTCGCGATAGAGCGTCGGCAACCACATTGTACTTCCCGCGTCGGTAATGTACATCGTATTGGTATTGCTGGAGCTCCAACGCCCATCTGGCAATCCTTCCGGTGGGGTTTTCTATCTGGTCGAGCCATTTAAGTGCCAGATGATCGGTGATGACATCGAACCTGTACCCTTCAAGATAGCATCTTAGCTTCCGGATTCCCCAGACAATTGCTAAACACTCCTTCTCTGTGGGTGAATAGTTCAGCTCGGCGGCGTCAAGCTTCCGGCTGACGTAGGCAATAACTCGCTCCTGGCCATCGATTTCCTGGGTTAGGACGCCCCCGAGCCCATAGTTACTGGCGTCCGTTTGCAAGGTCATCTTGACCGAAAAATCCGGACATGCTAACACGGGCGCGTCTGTTAGCAGGGTCTTCAGTAGGTCGAATGCCTCCTGCTGCTCTGCTTCCCACTTCCACCTCTGATTCTTCCGCAGTAGGTTCGTCATGGGTTGCACTACTGAAGCGAAGTTTGGCACGAATCGCCTGTACCACGAGGCCATCCCGAGGCATCTCCTCAGCTCCCGTAAGCTCGTAGGAGGGCTCAAATTGCGCACTGCGGCTACCTTATCTGGATCGGTATGGATACCTTGATCGCTGATCACGTGTCCCAGGTAGGCTATCTTCCTCTTGAAGAACGAGCACTTTTCTTGATTGATCCGCAAGTTGGCTCTCCTTAACCGTTGGAACACTTTGCGTAGGTTCTCCGTGTGTTCCTCGAGACTCGCTCCAATGACGATGATGTCGTCGAGATACGCAAATGCGTGTGGATCGAGGTCAGGCCCGATCACACTATCCAGCGCCCTCTGAAAGGTGGCCGGAGCCGAATGCAGTCCAAATGGCATGACCCGCCATTGAAATAGGCCTCTTCCAGGCACAGTAAACGCGGTGCATGCTCGGCTGTCAATAGCCATAGGGATTTGCCAGTACCCATTGCGCAGATCCAAGGTTGAGATGTATTTAGCGTTTCTCAGACGCTCTAGAATGTGGTTGATTCGCGGTAACGGATATGCGTCCGGAATGGATTTGGCGTTAAGTTGTCGGTAGTCGACACACATGCGCCATTGGCCGGTTTTCTTCCGCACCAGGACTAAGGGGGCACTATGTGGACTACGCGACGGCTCGATGCAGCCCTGCTCTAGCAATGCATCCACCTGTTCGTCGATTATCCGTTGCATGGCGGGGTTCTTCGGGAAGTAGCGTTGTTTAATCGGTCGATCATCCCGCATCGTGATTCGGTGTTCGGCGATGTTGGCTACTCCGGCCATTCCCTCGAATTGAGCTAGTTGCTCGCAAAGGAACGCTTGTACGTGCGGATGGGTCTCGCCGTCGTTCTCTGGGGGTTCGTGGTTTGGGTGTCGGTGTTCTTGTGTCGGGGCTTCCTCGTTGTGTTTTCCTGGTGTATTCTCGTTGCGTTCCTCGTCTTTCTGCTCCCGTTGATACCCCTCGGTGTCGGTATCCTCGCGTGTCTCTCGATGTTCTCTGTCGTCGTTCTCCTCGCGTGTTCCTGGCGTGCGTTCCCCGACGTGCTGCCCGTGTGTTTCCAGCTCGTGGTCCGCCTTTCGCCTTACTTTGTTCTCCTCGCTTTCGTCTGTGTTTCTCTCTGTCTCGTTGGTCTCGATTGGTGCTGTGGTCTGGTTTTCTCCTCTTGTTCCTCCGCATCCTTGAGGCTCTGGGCCATAGGATCTGGGTGGCTCTACATCATGGTTGGCTATGCCTAGCCGAGGTTCGGTTGGTGGTGGGTCCAATGGTCTCAGGGTACCTGCGGGTCCTAGCGTCACTCGTGTTTGACTCTGGGATCCTGATGTCGATGGATGGTTGCGTTGATCGGTCTGACTTGGGCCATTGGGCCTGTTGTGGTCGAGTTCTTCGGGTCGGTGTAGAGAGAGCGTGAGGCTGGCCGTCCCACAGCGGAGTGTGGTGCCAATAGATGCCAGGAAATCCATCCCGAGGATTAGGGGTTCCAGCATCGCTGGCATCACGAGTAGGGGAACCTGAATTGATTTCCGGTCGAGAGTCACATCAGCCAAAAGCAACCTTGACACTTCAACCCGGGATGTGTCGGCGAGGTTGCTCTGTGTGCGGATTTCCCTGAACTGATGGGGTTGCCCCACTACGTCGGCGACATCCTGACTGATGAAACTTCGCGACGCCCCTGTGTCAATGGTGGCTAGACGCAGGTGTCCGCCGATGTCGACCTCAGCAGCGATCCTCCCTCTCTCTATCCTAAGCGGT